AGGTTTATAGTGAGCAAAACCAGCACAGTAATCATTGCCTTAACTGACAAAAAACATCTTAAGATCAAACAGAAGAAGCAGACTGATGTCAGAATGAAAACAGTAAGACAGAGACAGCTGAGGAGAAGCACTGGATTCCTTAACTAGTGCAGTGGTCATTTTTAAAACACAACAAAGACCATTCAGCGTCCTTCCACATCACACAGAGCACTTCATAGATGGAATGGAGCTGTTTTCTCCCCAGCACTTGCGTCTAATCAGGTGGTTCAGCTACGAGCATCTGCTTCAGGCCCTGCATGATGCAGTAGGCCAAGCAAGAAGATGTTGCTGTCTGTGTGCATCCTGTTCTGTGCTAGGTGTGAAGTTGTATTCTCAGTCTGTGTCGAAACTAGCCTTTTTAATCCCATGAGGGTGTGTGTAACAGCAGGGAGAGTTCAAATGCCACACAGCTGCTAACTGCATCTCCATGCACTGTGTCAGGAGCAGCAGTCGATTTTCTACACTCTGACATTCCAGTGTCCGAAGAGCTCAGCTCTGAAATTCTCTGGCAAGATGCAATGGAGCTGAATGAGGGCACAGTGGAAAGCTGATTTCTGCGGGCACCCTCAAATCCAAAGGGAAATGGTGAATATCTGCATATGCCAGTGCCCGGAGGAGAGGAGGAAGAGTGTGTTCTTGGATGCAGCGAGGCGACCCAACGTGAAAGATCACTGAGAGGTGACATTGCACAGGCCAGCTCTACTCTAAACAGCCGGCTGCTCGGAATTCATTCCATGTGCTCGGGCACCGCAGCCCAAGGACGTGCGCCTGCAGAGAGACGGACATGGCTGAGCGCCCAAACACCCCCTGAAAACGCCAACTCCTAAACCGTCTGCGAGTCATCGGGCATCATGTGTTCAATACCTCACTGACCTCACCGTGGAGCGGTCAGCAGTTACGGAGGAGGGCGGATCACCACGTTGCTGCCCCCTGTGTGTCTGCGCGTGCCAGCCGGCTCAGCCGGCTCAGGCTGGGTGCAGGAGCTCATGCCTCGAGCGGCTGCTGCTGCTGCGCCCTGCTGGGCCAGGCTTTGCTCTGCTTCCTGCTCAACCACACCTCCCCTGCCCTTGACTGCATTTTTCTGCATGTTGCTGCACCTTTACTTGGAAAACCCTGGACCGACCCAGCAGCTCCAGGAACTGCACATTTAACTTCTAGCGCCCTGTCTTTCCATGCAAACAAAGGAGAGGAGGCACATCAGTACCAGCAGCACAAAACCTTAAATTTAAACTTCCCTTAATATGCTTGTTGAAGTCAAGTTCGTTTTGTGCAGCAGTTCACGGGGATGAAGTCAATGAATTATCCACTGGGAAGGAGCTCCTGTTGTCAGCTCACATGAAAGGCATATGTATTTATGGAGCCATGCGGCTCTTATGATCATGCTGTCAGACTTGTTCCACATTGTAAGGAGGTGTTAAGGAGGGGTGGTATAGCGCCCCCTTCTGCCGAGACTATGTATGGTGAGACCTCCCAGGAGCAGCTGGTGTCAGCTGGTTTATAGCCCTTTCAGAGATACTGATTTCCCATCACATATACCAAGAACACATAGCCCCACTCTGTACTAGACATCAACAAAACCCTGTACAGGCCCCAGCTGTGAAATGACTAATGCACTAAATCCAACATCATTCAGTATAAAAATCAGTGACCAGCCCTCTGCTTCTGTCCTGTGTCAAAGTTGGAGGCACTGAGACACACAGCTCATAGGGAGCAAGTGTTATAGCTTCAGAGGGGGGCAGCTGACAGAGGTGAAACACAGCTCAGCATGGGGGACAGCTCTCTGACCCACCAGTGAGCAGAGAGCTGTCTGTCAAGGGTCACATTCTGTAGCACCAAGCAGAAGCAGTTTTGGAAATAATATGGGAAGTACAATTACGCACAAGTCAATATGAGGATTTCACAATACACAAAAACAAAATAAAACCACAAATTTAAAAAATAATTCTCTGACATTCATCTGTGGGAGGCATGTGTGTGGAGCTTGGGCGGGAAATGACTCGGAAAAACAGACCTGTCTAGGTTACTTGATTACCAGGAGCTAGTTGATCCTGGGAGCTCACCGGGCCGTGTCTTGATGATCCGATGGGATCTGCTTCCACAGCTCGGCTGGGCAGCTGCAGCCCAGGGGCTGAGCGCCTGTTCAGTGTTGGACGGAAACAGAGGGATTTCCCTGCTGGCTCCCCCATGACCGACCTAACCTGCAGGATTCAGCGGACACCCCCTCCTCTCCCTCGTCTTCCTCGGTCCTCCCTGCCCCACAGATCCACCCCAGGATCCGAATCGCCAGGATGGGCAGCTCTGTTCTGGAACAGTTTCTGTCCTGGAATAAATCACCACACAGGTGCTCAGATCACAGCACTACAGGCAAGTCTTCAAACATTCATGCAATACACTCCTCGCGTCCTAGGGGTCGCCTCAGGTTTTAATTCTTATTTCTGTGTCATTTACCTGATAGTCTTGTGCTGTTTGAGTCTCTCCAGGCTGCCCACAGGAAGCCCTGTGTCACGGCTGTCCCAGGTGGGGAAGCTCTGGCGCCAGCTGCTGTCTGCGCCCCTCAAGTCCAGTCAGGTCCTGGTCACTGGAGGCACTGCTGACCCCAATGACCCCGGAGGCCATGCTGAGAAGCTGTGTTTTAGAGGATCGTCTGTCACAGGCGGGCAAGGGGCAGGAAGACCTGCTGCTCACCCCTGTCCTGAAGGCCAGCACTGAGTGACCAGGGCTGGGCTGCTGCTCAGCTTCTCTTTTAATCTGCACCAGAAACCTCCCTGTGAGCAACACTAGGCCGCAGTCTAAAACCTTCAGCCCATTTTCCAGGAACTTCATTCCACAGGAACTCCCTTGACTCTGCAGACTTGAGAAGATTGTCGTTCATCATTGTCCCTCCCTCTGGGCACAAGTCTCAACTGAAAGCCATGGCAGAGGTCAGGTATCTCAGCACACACTCCTGAGCCGATGTCATGAATGTCACCGAGACTGGGCGGGCGTGCTCAGCACTCAACACTGAAGGAAAGAGGTGAAAACATTTCCTCACTCAGTGCAATGGCTCCATCTAGTGGAATAAAAGTACAACTATAGTTTAAATGAAGTGCGATGCAGAAATGAGACTCGTCAGCCCTACTTGTTCTGTACGGAGCCAAATGTCTACATAGATGGGTCCCAGAAATACATTTCACACCCAGGTCTTGATTTTCAAACATCCTGACAGGGCAGCAAAATACTTGTGCTGGAAACCCTGTATATACTGTGTCTTTCTGGTAACTACCTAAACGCAGTTCATGTTTCTACAGTGACTCCAATGGTTTGTTTGAGACATTTTGCTCTTGTACCTGCTGCGGCCACACGCCTGCCGCGTGATTCCTGTGCAACAGCACCGGTTCCGCCTCACAGCGCCGCTGACATTCCGCGCTCATTGCGCCGGGAGTCGTTACTCCTCCTCCTCTGGCTCCTGGAGGAAGAGTTTTCTGAGTTTTTTTACACTCGGGCTGCGACACGGCTCGACACCTCCCAGCGTCTCGCTCCTGTTTTTGACATATTAGTACATTCTCAGAATTAGACAGAAACTAATTATAATCCATATCCACTCCGTTCGGATGCGTGAATTGAAATAATGACAACCTATTGTTTTACTGTTTAAGTATTTGTAACATCTGGTGAAAGTCCAGGCAGGACCAATGTGGGGTCATGCCTTCGGTGTGTTAAACACTAATTCATGACTAAGAAGTTATTATTATTATTATTATTATTATTATTATTATACAAAGGGACAAGGGGTGTCCAGTACCAAGACTGGACACCCTGCAGATACACTGACCGCTCAGGTCCAAGACTGGACACCCTGCAGGTGTAGCGGAGCTAGTTCGGATACGTTGACGTCATCGCCCTCCCTGCGCGTAGCAGGGTCCTCAGCTGCCTGGGCTGGGGGAGGTCTCCTTTAGCACACCCGGTTGGTGCCCTGTTGCGTTACGCTGGAGACCCGGGTTCGTTCCCCAGGTGCTGCGGGGGGGCACGAGCCCACGCGGAACCGCGACGGTCACACAGACACACTGACTGCACAGGACCAGGACTGGACACTGCAGACACACTGACCGAAGAAGAGCAGAACTCTGCTTCCTGACCGCACAGCTCAACGCTCGTGGGCTCCAGCGTCCCTGTGAGACGACAGCGCAGCCATGTCCCGTCTCCAGACCCGAGCCTCGCTGTGGGAAGAGCTGCAGGGTCTGGGGCTCAGAGCCCACAGGGCAGCCTCTGCAAGCTGGAGCAAAGCAGGACTCAACCCACCTGCTGACGTGTTAATCACCATGATCTGTTCACCTGCCGCCACAGGAAAGAGCCGTTTCTCCAGATGATCTGTATTTGCTATAGTGCCGAGTTTCTTTCAATGCTCAGTGTAACAGTTCAGCTACTGCTAGACGTAAAAGGCTGTGGCCCCCCAGGAATGGAGATGAGGAGCCTGATTACTGTGAACAGGACAGCAGCTCATGTGTTCCTCAGCGGAGGTGCTGGGACTGGGACTCACTCACAAGCTGGTGCCCTCTCCCACACCTGGCGCTGTCCGCTCCCCTGCGGGAGACCGCTCAGTGAAACCCTCGCTCAGCTCCGGGAGGGCCGGACCCTGCCTCTCCCTGCTCTCCAGCGGAATGGTTTCGACAGCATGCGTGGTTTTTGGAAGTCAAGCCAAAAGCCACCCATCTTCCTGCAACAGAAGCATCAGGCCGACACCACTCCTCACCTCCCTGCCCGGAGCCGAGGTGCGCGTGCTTCTTGTTGCCGCGAAGGAACAGCAGCTCAGTCCAGGCTAAACGCCCACCTGAGCGCCGCCATGCAGCGACCCAACTGGCCCCTGACCTCCTGGAGGACACCGTGTTCTGGGGAGGCACTGGGCCGGGCCGAGGCGAAAGCGACCGGCCTGCACTGCAGGACACACCACGCCACGGATCAAGAAGCACAGCTGAGACATGTAGTCAATTTCAGGTTTTATTGGAAAACATTGATATTTCACAGCTTGTAATTGAGACGCAACTTGCACAGACTGAACAGCTATAGTCAAGGCCTTTCGCCTCCCCGGTCCCCCCAGGGCCCGACCCCCGCTGCACCTCGCAGACGGAGGCCCCCTTGACAACGCCCTTAGCAGACTGAAGCAGGAGCAAGAAACTGCAAGAGCTTTTATTACTACACAGTCTCTTGTACAGCAAACTAAAAGACAGAAGCTGTTCAAGACCTCATTCCTAACACTCATGCCACTGGCCTAAGGATCACTTGCGCCCCAAACCCCCCCCAGCGCCTCGGTTCAGTCAGACAGCGAGCAGAGCATGGAGCAGTACTGCAGCACTTCTAGGACAACATGTGCACCGAACAGCTCACAACCCAGCAGACACAAGGAGCAGCAGCAGCAGCAGATTTGGTTTTCGGTTATTACATCGTAGAGTTCATTCTTGTACACAAAATGTTTAAGTGCAAATATATATTTTAATGTACTAAAAGTCATCTTGCAAAAAAGTTGAGGCTCAAGATCTTATTATGGCACATTTATTTCAAAACCAAGGGAAAAAAAGTCACAGGCCATACCATTATATTAATATTAGGCAACGCACAGTTTACGACACCATATTTGTTAATAATGCACATTTGAAAAGCATTACATTTACATGTTTATTTTTTTGCAAATTAAGTATTTACAGCAATGCTTTCTTGGGCTGCCTAACGCAACTACTTATTTTTCTCACACGGTTTCCCTAAAACAACAGTATCAATGCATTGCCCTATTCTAGCTTGATGCTGTGGTAAGTTTTAAAAGTTAGAAAAAAATCAAATAAACCTATAGAGCTTTACACTCATTCCACACCCTGCATCCCAGCCCCATTAAGATCTCACCAGCTTGTACCACCTCTCTAAAATAAAGATTTTACATGTGTATATATAGCCTCCTTCTGTACACAACCCAGCATCTCCTTCTAGTGTAGGATCAGGAGCCCTACTGTAACAAGAAACCGCCAAGCCAGGCACATGCAGGTGTCGGAACTGGCTCTCCGAAACACTCCCGTTTCCAGCGAGCTGCACGGTTAAATTGTTACAAACAGAAAATGCTTCGATGGTGAACTGCTCTTGTTCAACGAACAAAAAAACTGCCTCTGTCGCTGGTTCTGTCTTTTCCTTTTGGTCTAATTTGGGAAAATCGGGCTGTTCAGAACGAAGAGATCTCATGCACGTTGAAGATTGTGACGCTTTGCCTCCCCCCTGCTCTAATTCGTTGACAGATGCCTTTGGAGTTAAATCCGAACCAGACTGTAGAATTTAAACAGTAAAGATTTTTTTGTAGATTTTTTTATATATATAGACAGAGTGATCAAGAAGAACAGGCAATGGAAGAAAGACGCTTCACTTTGCAGTCATCATCTGCACAAACTCTGCAAAACAAGAAGAGAAGGATTGAGAGCTGATTGGTGCGCAATTCACTGCACATCCCTGTAGAGCGAGTGTCTGCAGCCCTGTCACACACCGCCGTCTCCTGTCTGCGATTCCAGCGTTTCTCACCGCTCACAGGCTGCCTAGGGAAGACAACCCAGCTGCAGCGCAAACAGACCCGCAGATTAGGAATCTATGCCTGGATTCCAACAGGCCTGAAATTTTCAGACTGTTTCTTTATGAAATGTCACACTGAATTGTTTGGATACAGAAATGCAAAAAAAAGGGCTCTTGTGCTTCACAGTTTCTACAGAACAGTTCTGCCCAATGAGAATGCGAAGCAGAGCAGGAATTACTCGGATCCACCTATGAATGGTGGAGAAGAATGGTGGTGCTGTGAGGTGAGTTCTGTCCAACAGGAGCGCGACAGGTCAGCCGTGGGAGGGGTGCAGGCACGGGGTGGGGAGAGGGGGTCGGGGGCTCACCTTCGTAGTTGACCTGGCCGTCGCCGTCGATGTCGGCCTCCCGGATCATCTCGTCCACCTCCTCGTCCGTCAGCTTCTCCCCCAGGTTGGTCATGACGTGGCGCAGCTCTGCCGCGCTGATGTAGCCGTTGCCATCCTGGCCCACAACAAGAGCCCGTGAGTCACCCCCGCCAGCCCCCCGGCTCGCCCACAGCTCAGCCGGACCGGCAGAACCTCAGGAGCCCAGACTCACCTTGTCGAACACGCGGAAGGCTTCTCGGATCTCCTCCTCGCTGTCCGTGTCCTTCATCTTCCGCGCCATCATGGTCAGGAACTCTGGGAAGTCGATCGTGCCGTTACCTGAGCAGGACAGGGGAGAAACGATTTGAAAACCTCACGGCCATTTGTCTCTCTCCGAGCCCAACCTGAGACTTGCGCCGGAAACATCAGCTCGATTTAAAGCAGGAGATACAAGCACAGCCGGAAGGCTTCTCTCCTCCTGATCCGCACTGTGGAGCAGAAGGCCCGTCAGCCGAGCCCGGGAGAGTGAGAGGTGTCAGTACCGTCGGCGTCCACCTCGTTGATCATGTCCTGCAGCTCGGCCTCGGTGGGGTTCTGGCCCAGCGAGCGCATCACCGTGCCCAGCTCCTTGGTGGTGATGGTGCCATCGCCGTCCTTGTCGAAGAGGGAGAAGGCCTCCTTGAACTCTGCAAGGACGCGGAAAAGAGGGCGGCTGTTGAAGCAGGCAAGGTCTTCCAGACAATTCTACAACATCCCGATATCAGGACACCAGTGTTTGTGGAGTAAAATGTAAATAAAACTGACAGGGGAGACGCTCATCTTATGCAAAACTCCCAGAGCAGCAGCAGCAGTCAGGGTTCCACACACACACACACACACACACACACACACACACACAGTTTCGTGTGTCTTTCACACAACGAGAGAGCTTGCAGGCTGAGCAGGGACCTGCCAGCCGCCCGCCGCGCCCGCAGGGAGTGAGAGGGGAAAGGATTCCAGAGGAAACCGAAAGCCCACCTCGGCTCCGGAAATTTAACACCCAGCCTCTCGCCTCCAGGCAGTTGTGCTCCCCCTCCCCCCAGCCTGCTGCTCAGCGTGTCTATTGAGAAGCAGAAAGAGCCGTTTCATCGCAAGAGTGGCATCCTGTCCGCGTCGGGGGGGCTCAGGCGGGCACGCTCCTCCGGCCAGGGCACTGGAGCATCACGGGAGAGTGCTTCGGCACTGCCGGGTGGAATTCCGGGAGAGACAGGGCGGGACACAAGGCGGGAGCGATCCAGGTCTGTCGGAGGACGTGCACGCGGAGGAGGAATCCGGTTTGTGCGTGCAGGGAAAGCTGGGAGAGCCGCCGTGTTCTTCCACGCTGCAGCCGATCGCTCGTGTGCGCACACTGGGCTCTTCCCAGGAGCAGAGACAACACCCTCCCTCCCGCTTCCAGGCCACCAACACCGGGGCCACAGGGCAAAAAACCACTACGTTTGAACTCTGGAGGAAACCGACTGGCAGGAGGTCCCACAGAACCCAAGACCCCTGGGTCGGGTCAGCACCATCAGGGCTCGGACTCGGCCGCAGCAGCCCTGGACCAGCAGGAGTGCGCGACTCCCAGCCGGGCTCGAGCCCAGCTGCAGCGCGGCCCGTTTTCCTCTGCGCCAAGAGCGCGCGCGTGCACAGCGGGAGCCGGGGATCACAACACCCCTTCGAGGACATGGAAGAAAAACATTCTCCGGAATCAATTAGAAAAACTCCCCCAGGACGTCGCTATCACTTTGCCCCGAGCTTCCTCGCCGCCGGGGGGAATTTTAAAAGCAAGGCTTTGTGCAGCAACGCCGGAGACCAGGCTGTCCCTGCGAATAGGTCTCAACGTAGCAGAAGCTTTCAGATGACACGCACAGAGGAGGGGGATCACGCCGCAGGACAGCTCCCAAATCCCACGTCTGCTTTAATTCCTGATCTGCAGGCCTGCCGGGACAGTGGGGTGCAGTTCTCCTGACCAGCCCTGTTCTCACCGACGATTCTTCGCTCTTCCAGGCCGCCCTCCGGCCTGCAGCGCTGCCAGGGCCTCGGCCTCCTGCTGCCCCCCTTCTGCGGCCACAGCCCTTCTGAACCGGCGTTTGTGGAGACCGGGGTGCAGGGACGGAGATCATGAGGGCCCTGCCCCGATCCTGGAGTCGCCCTCCGCGGGCAGGGACCCCAGCTCCTGGACAATCCCGCCAGAACAAGACCACAGCGCCAGGGGGGCAGAAAACACCAGTCCTGTTCCTAGAATTCCAATCCACGGGAATAGGGACCCAAGGGAAAAAAAGCCGTAAAAAGACTCCTGGAGTTTAGCTGGTTATGAAACGTGTGCTAAGGGCTCTGCTGTGTGTAGGAAGCACATGCTCTGTTCAGCTCCCCTCTGTGGGCTGAATTTCAGCACTCAAGTCTTCTCACGGTTTTTTCACAAACACGGCACACAGAACCACCACAGAGGCTCCTCACGGCAGCCGGCGGTACCCGAAACCTGTTTCCCTGAGACGCGACACGCATCTGGGCCAACACACGTGTCTCCGAGTCAAGCCACACCGCCACACGCGCGCGCTTACTCGGGGTCGGTCAGAGCAAAGAGAAACACGTACCAGCAATCTGCTCCTCGGTCAGCTGGTCAGCCTGTGGAAAGAGAAGCAGAGCAGGAGTGGGCACAGGGATCAGACACACGGTGGTCTCTCACACGCAGCGGGGCAGCCCCCCGCCCCACGCTGGCGCACACCGGTCGCACCAGCACAGGGGTCTTCCTCCCGAGACGCCAGCCCCTGCCCCTGACCCCCGAGCTGAGGGAGCGACAGAGGGCGGCGAGCTGCTCTATGTCCTCGGGCTGACCGTGACGAGGGCTCAGTGGGAACTGGAGAGTCCCGAGCGGCTCTAGAGGACAAAACTCATCCCAGTAACGCTCTGCTCATCCAGACCGGCCACAGCCGGGCTCCCCGGGATCGCTGCGGGACCGGGCTCCAGGGCGGCTGAACGATCACCCGAGCTCTGGGGCTCCTGGCAGCTGACCCTGGGCGCGGGGTCACTCGAGTTCAAGCTGCATTGCAGCTCCGTGCCCGACGGGCGCGCGTCGAGCGCCGAACCGCGGGGCTCGAGCCCAGGTGAGGGGTCGGGGACGGCCACGCGGAGGGCGGGACAGGGGCAGACAGCGGCGCGAGGGCTTCTTCTGGACAGGACACAGCCCCTCGAGCTCCAGGACCCCGCTGTGTGACGGGGGGGGGGAGTTGGGCTGCGTGTGCGCGGGCAGAGGCGCCCCGGGTGCCGACATCCCCCGGCGGCCCCGGACACGCAGACTGGGGCGCATCCCGCCTCTTCACGCGCCACCAGCGCGACCGTGGCACTGCGGCACGCGCCGCGCACACAGTGATCACGCGCGGCCAGGACACGGTCCACGGGCGAGCCGCACGCACGTCCGTGGCGGGAGCTAGACCCGGTACTGCCCGGCGCGGGTCCGGCTGTTTCTGCGCCGCGCCGCCCCCTGCTCCCCGTATCCACACCGTTCACGCACAACACGCAGCCGCCCCGCACATCTACGAGGAAAACAGAAGCCCCCGAGACCCCGACGGCTGTCCCGCGGCCGGTCAGGAAGAGCCACGGCCACTCCCACGCCGGACCCCACTGCGCGCGCCGGCAGGACCGCTTGCACTCGAGCCCGGCGCCAGCCACCCGCCTTCACAAAGAAACAGTGTCCAGGCTGGTATCGCCCTACTCGCACGCTCACGCCACAGACCCCCGGCGCCTCTGGGTCGCGTCCCGCCGCCAGTCCACTCACCATTTTCCTCGGTGTCGGTGTCGGTGCCGGTATCGGTGCTGCTGCGTCTCTACTGCGGCTGCTCGCTCTGGTGGCGCGCGACTCCTCGCTGTTACAAAGTTGCCCGGGAACTCGCGTCCTGCTCACTACCCCGGTAGCCTCATTTGTACTGTATCCCTCCGCCCGATGACATCACTCACCCACATCGACCTTAAACCGTTCAAGAAAAAAAACCCGCAGCTCCCCACTGCGCTAGAACACATTTATTACGCGGTATCGACCTTTTTTTTCTAAAAGCAACCTTTTACTGAAATTAAACAGGTTACGAGTTCCAGGGCTCAGCAATAAATGTCGACAGTGCACTATTTGCACGCTTGGCGTAGAGATACGATGTACTGCAGAGAGCGCAATAAGACCCCTTTCTGCTGTACAGACCCCCCCTCCCCCCCCACAACGCAACGGGCCGGTTATTACACTCCCGGGCGCAGACACAAGTCGGTGACTTGCGTTTATTATCATCAGGTTTTCTGTGATACTATTTATAGTGTCATAATTGTATGAATATGGGTTGCGGGTTACTCTGCTTCAGTTTGTGGGACAATGTTTCCGAGGCGCAAGGTTACGCAGAGACAGAGTTACAAACTGCAGACAATGTAAGTCCGAGTCCTATTGGCCGGGAGATGAGCGAGCAGGAGAAAGGACGCTCGCCATTGGCTGGCTGTTACCTGCAATGCGTCAAACTGGGCTGAGCTCTATCCGTCCACACACCAGAGCCCAGCACTGTCACTGGGGTCCGGGCTGCTGCTGGTTTCGCATTCCAAGATTGCGGCGGGGGAACCGGGCAGGAAGCTGGAGGGTGATTTAATGAAAGACCTGAAACTGACGCTGGAAACTTCACCACCTTTCTGTTACAGATGTCCCAACTACTTGACCTTGTTCAGACCCGTGTGAAACCCACCCAGAGTGTGCATTGCGTTTCCAAAGTCAGGGCGCAGGAAATATCGAAACTGATTATAACCGATTTTGTTTTTTTCCAATAAAACGACATGTAGGACTGTAAGGAGGGCTGGTATTTGGAGCAGTGTCGAGCGAGGCGCGTACTCTACTTTTTAACAATTTCAATTCATCTAGTAAATTTACTTTCTTTGGCAATAATGATGATAAAACCACTAGAATGTTTGCGAAACAGAAGACGCTGTTCTGATTTGTGTCAGAAGCGATGGAGGCTGGGCCCATTCTGGTGATAATACCAGAACTGATCAGGGACCAGCACTGTGGGCCGGAATGGCTGATTCGGAGAGAGTACAGCTCCGGTCAGAACAATAACAGAGGACGGCCGACACCTTATTATATGAGAGAACTATCGGCCCCGCAGAAAAACAGCGAGACCTGCGCGTTTTGCGGCTCTGCTGGCTTCTCTCCCAGTGCGACACCGGCTTCACGGACCCCGGTCCGGCCCGGCCCGGCCCGACCGGCAGCGCGAGCGCGGGGAGTCGCTGCAGCCGGTCCGGTCGAGTCGGTGACACTGCCGCCGCGCGCGACGAGCCTTTCCACAGCGACAGCCCCGCTCCTGTCACACAAATCAGTCCGTTTCGTCAGCATGCCGGGGTCTCAGCAGCGTGTACTGGTCGGATGACACCAGGACTAGCCAGCCCAGCTACACCCATCTTCCAGGGGGTCGCCACGAAAGTGTTCGGCCCCGAACCACTGAGCCAGACGCCACCGAGCCCAGAACCATCCAGGTCTTGTGACACGCAGATCACCCTGCGCTGGGCTGCTGTCGGGGGTGGCAGAGGACAGCACTGAGTTAACCACACAAATTAACTCGCTAAATTGCTGAATAGGCTGTGTGTGTTGATGGTGTTAAGAGTGCCCTGTGGATCTGGGTGATTGTTGACCTAATTGGAACAGTTCAACAGTTTTCTCTGGTCACATATTTATAGAAAAGTGGAGTATTA